CACACAAACACATTATACTAATTCATAATACCGTGTAATGTCACCCTATGTTATCATTGAGGAATGGATCGAGCACTACATCACTAACATTGCTAAACATTAACAGTTATGAATTTTCATTAGAATTAATTCATTTTGAAGTTAGTCTCATTTGTGTATACAAAACTAATGTTTGATCATAAGCGAGGAAAAGAAACTAAGAGAGTGAAGCGTTGAATGGCATTCGATATTTGTTGTTTAATCCTTAACAGAAGTTGAACAACGATAGAAGTAAACTTTAATCCATTATTGCCAGGGAAAAAAAGGATCACAACAATCCTAAGACAGAATTATTGATTGTTTTATAAATCCTGATTTGAGTCGAAAAGATAGAATGAATAGCTCTTTGTCTAGATATACTTTCCAAGTATACAAATATATGGGTCAATCACGTACTTGTTCACAGTTCAGTCAGTAACAACGTAGAACCTCGTACATACGTACATCAGTTCGAGTTGCCATACCACATTAGTACAGAGATGCAGTTGTCAATTCAAATCCCGTAGTGGTAGAGGCAGTAAGAGTATAAGCAGTAATCGGGAAGATTTGGGTTTGGAGATGTTATTCAAAGAGTATAATCCAGTGAAAAAAATTTCAAAAGAGAAAAAAGGGACATGAAGAATTCAGAACATTAGAATTTGGGAGAACACAAAGAGTGGATGCACTTGCGCCATTGCAAACGATTTTGAGCCATGTCATTCAAGGTCTCTAACCATCGGTTGCGATCATCTCGCGGTCCTCAACCAGTTCGGTTAATAGTGAATCGAAGCTATCGGTTATTTATATTTAACATTCAATCAAACTGTTTATCAGATTATGGTTACGAAAGATATTATAACAATGTAAGGTATATTCATTTGTTATTGTGATGTTTATTGAATAAATGTTCTAATCAAATATTCAACTAACAAATATTTTTTGAATCATTTAAGGTGCGTAGACATTCGAGATTTTGATGATAATTTTACACTATGACATGATCTAAATGGTCCAGTATGGTCAGAGTTGGGGAGAGTTCACCCTTCTTTTAGATATTCATTCATATAGTCATACATATATGACTTATACCAGGGAAGTATTACTCATTACCTTTATGTGGCATCGGTGTATTTTACAAAATGAGAAGACGAAAAGCGAAAACCGAATGACCCCCCGGTTAGGGGGCATAGGGTTCATTTAGAGGAGTTGTAAAACCTCGATTTCAAGCCAGTGTTGTACATGGGAGCCAGAATCTCAAGGAAATAAATGGTTCATGAACCTAGTTTGAGTCACCAGGTACAATGAGAACGCAGCTTCCAACTTTGATCTAGTGTTATGAATTAGATTTCTAGATCAAAGGATTGGGGGATGGTCCACTAAGAAAATTTCCTGCTTCGGTTTATAATAATAATAGTAATTATAATATCTGTTGAACAGAAGATATTGGTGGCAGTAGATAATGCGTTATTTATTGACTTTTTTATGCGATTCGGAAACTGGACAAAATAACACAAAACATCCCTAACATAAGTATACACTCACTTGCCCTGGCAACAAATTCATAATCTAACACTTAAAAATTTGCAGCGCCGATCAGTATAAGATAAAATACATGGATATGCATACAGCATTTCAAATCTGTCCTTCGGAACCAGCCACTAAGAATGTGTAGTCTAAATTGGTAAATTTAATAACAATCGGACAGTTAAAAAAGTCCTTTGGTTGAATTAGTGCGAAACTATGCAGTAAATACCTATACGTTGTTTCTTAAATAGGGTAAATGGTTATTTTTTATTTGTCAACAGCTTCTATAACACTAAAAAATGATATAAATTAAAGTATTATTCATTCATTTGTATTGATTGTTTGGATCTTTCCACTGATGTTTAGAACTGCAATTGATCAGTCTCCTATTAGCATATGTGCATCCTGTGCGGATTGCCTGCATATTGATTTAAACCACAAACATTATGAGCAGAGATGGATGGCGGCTAACAGTGGAATCCAGTGAACGGTGCTGGGTTAGAGTCCCGGTGTGAACAACAACTCTGGGATGCAGGTACATTCATCTGAGTCCCAAACAGGATGAAAGGCACGTCATGGATTCCACAGCTAGTCAAAATCCATCTCCGCTTAAAAATAAATCAGTTTTATTTTTTGTCTTTGATAAACTATCTTGAAATAAAGAGAATGCCCTCAGCTTATAATGTGCACTAAAGTGGTAATATAGTGGTTGATTAATTTTTTATCCAGTAGGTAGCAAGTTCAAATGACACTTCAGCAACTCCGATTTGGCGAGCGACGTATGATCGATCACTAAATCTCGCACAACTAAAGTGTACATAAACTGGTAATTAGTAAATGAGTTTTGTTTTAGCAAACGCTTTCAGTTGTTCATCTTTTTTAATTCCGAACCTACCAAACCGAAGTTTAGGTCTTGTTGTCACTTTTCTCTGATCATCTAAAACTGAACAAAATATGGAGGAAAGTGGAGAACAAGTGAACCACAGAGTAACTTGACCCCCATAGGATATAATAAAGGCTACCTCGAATATGGTATTTGTAATGTAATTTAATTATCACATGTACATTTATCTATTCAGCACTTAGACATACTGTTTTATGTGAGTAACCAAGAGTTTTAACCATTAAGCTACTGCCCAACATATGATATTGATACCCAATAACTGTAGTTTTATTTCGTTCATTTTCTATATTATCAATCACAGCAAAACTCAAAGTAAAGTCAACTCTGACGGATACAGACAAAATGTACAATTAGTTTTTATTTTATTAAAGAAACAAATTCATGATAAATTCAAAGTGATACCAAAAATAATGACGAAAATTTCGACTTCACGTCTATTAATCCACCATTTTCAGAATACTAAGTATTACATCTGAGAATGTTGTTTTATGGAATAGATAGTTTGTGGTTAACAGCCGGATCCAGAATGACCATTTCTTTCTACTTGGGACTTTTCAGTTAAATGTACCTGAATTTAAATGTTGATATATGCGACAGGACTCGAACCGAAGACCTCTAGCTTTACATGCCCAATGCCTTATCCACTGAGCTACTGAGTTCAGATAGATAAGAATTCTCCAAAAGAATAAAATATGGGTACTGAATTCCACTCCTAGCCATAAGTAATCTATTCTATAAAACTTGTGATAAGATAGCTACACCAAGGCGGTTCATAAAGGATATATATATGTCAATTAAGACTGATCAGCAATGCAGTCCACAATATTAACAACGGAATACTTAAAACCATAATAATAATTACATGTTAACTGTATTGCTTTTATTACGTTCAAATCAGTCAACAACAGTGTATACAGTTATAGAATGTCAGTAACAAGCCTTTTATATTAAATGATGAATACTTAATAACCATTTTCTCTACTTCGCTTATATTTTAATACATCAATACACTCACGTTGGTTCAGGATCGTTCTTCTATTTTTACATGTTAGTTCATTTGTAACTACCAGAATATGTTCCCAATAGATCTGAGAATTTCTATTTCACTAATTACAATTAATATTATGTTTAGTTAATCTAAATGACCCCGTACGTCAATCTAAGTTAGACCTGTTATAACCTGTGGCCATGTGCCCTATTAATACATAATGAAATGATACCGCCAATTAGAGAACAGTGAATTATCGACCAGACCAATGACGCATAAACATGTACGAGCAGTCTAGAGGCCTTAGCGATCCTACTTTCTGCCTTACCCTGCCTGTTGAGTCCAGAACACAAATCTCAGCCTCTGCGATATGAATAATTTATTTCAAACATGCTGGGTTTATATACAAACCAAACAGACCACAACGCACCATAAAACAGAAAATGATATTTGTACAAGATCTAACCAAAAATTGGCTGTGAATGTGGAAGATTGTAATTAATAGACTAAGCATAACGCAAGAACTGTAAATCGTACAATACTAGTCTATAGGTCAAAATAAAGCTTATAATAAGAGGAATATGAATACACATAGTTTAGTTACTTAACAATTACACAATAAAAATATTTGTATAGTATTAGTCCATAAATGGTTCCTAACAGTTATCATTCATTACTCTGGTCGGGATCTATTAAAACCACCACTAACAACCTGGAAAAACTAGAAGGTCGTTTCGTCCTAGTATGGAACTACTCAGCAATGCGCGTCCACGACCCCTCACGCGAGACTCTAATTCAGGACCTTCAGCCCTGCACGCGAACGATTCGGGATTTTAATGGTGGTCTAGCTTAGATTGACTCATGAATTCAACCGTTAAAATACTACAGTCTCCGCAAACCCCATTCTTATACTTCCATAAGTTATAAATAATGTACAGTTTGATAAAAATATGTATTAGATAAAAGAAATGAATATGCTATAGAAACCAAAAGAGTCCAAACAACAACGATATTGATGCTGCTGAAACAATAAAAATGTTGAAATTAAAGAATTAAAGAAAGTGAATATTAGTAGATTTAAAGGAAGACAAATAATGAATATATTCAAGTCATTTGGATTGTTCTCCAGCTATAATACCAACTCTCTTCAACCATAGAAAAGGATTATCATATGTAATACAATCAAAACGTTTATACATTCTGGTACCACTCAATAGTTGAGAAGTTTAAATACCAAACGCTAGGTGGTAAGCCCGAACCCTGTTATATCTCCTTCCGTTTGGGCAATTAAGTAGTATTACAATCTCTTACACTCAGAGTTTGACCCGTAGTCATGTATACAAATCTGTTAGATGCAAATAATAAATAACACGACCCATAACAGTGGGATTGATAACTTATGCTGATATGGATGCGCTCAACTTTCTCTCGACCATTTCCTACACCACTTAACATTGTGCGACAGCAACTGGATATATATATATTGTTGAAGATTAACAATGGGAAAATGCAATTAATAATACGTTACAAGGATTCATACATACCAATAAAACAACATTCACTTACAAATGATCTTGACGTTTGAAAGCTTTATGGCATACAATACAAATGTATTTACGTTCTTCACTATGTGTTAGCTTATGCTTAGCGATAGCACTGGAATTACTGAATACCTAAAGAGACAGAAAAATAGAACAACAAAATATCTAGTTATGTGTCTTTTTTTTCAAACCAATTTTGTAAAAAAAAATGATTATTTGCTGTACATAATCCATTTGGTTTCATATACTGTAAATTAAGTAGTATTATAGTTTGAAATGTACTAAGTAATGACTCCTAGTATGTTTTTTCTGCGAAATTAAAAAAAGTCTTGCCAATCATCATTATCGCTGTGATTAATTACAATGTATCCAATATTTAATAAATGTGTTGTATTCAGCAGCTTCGGTCATTTTTCATTAATGTAGTAGATGAGTAACTTCGCCTGAAGCTCCTCTGGGGCTACTGCCGGTCCCATGCTCGGATAAAGGAGGAGGGTTGGGCATAGGGTTAGCGACCTTATCCTGTAGGAAACTAAATCGCTAAAAAACGCTAACTAGAAAAAATAATTCAAACCATTTAAACTCTGCCCTGAGAGTAAGAAGGTCTTCACTCAAAAGAGTTATGATACATGGTGAAAGTCGAGTTCCTTCGGAAGTCACGAGGTTGATGACTCTTCCGACAACCACAGCAACCATCAATTAAGGTACATGGAATGTTTGTACAATGTGGGAGAGTCTTCCGAATTGCTGCAGTAGATGAGTGCTGTGTATTTTCATTCTGTTTGTTAGGTTGAACTAAATTGATATATTCATATGATAATGTTTCGGTGAACCCCAGACGCTTGAAATGAAATCTTTGATGAAAAATTTCATTCCAATATACAGCATTTAGTCACTAAATGAACAAAAGGATAGTTAAGCGTTAGATACAATAAACTTATTGGACACTGAAAATGTTCAAGATAATCACCGCCATTGTTATTTATTTAACGAGATATAATTATGCAGCACTTAAGATAATAATGTTTACTAATAAAGTTTATTATAGCATTAATGAGTTGAAATGACAAAGTGTGAATGCAAACACACTCAGAATGCTTCCTAATTTAGGGATAAATTGTGTTTTTGACGCAAAATAATAACTAGTTCCTTTGAAAAACCTTTCATGTAAATTATTTTATTAGTGGTGAACTGAATCAGAAACACTGTTATAATATACAGATCAGGATATCCAAATATAAGGTCGACAGTTTGTTGTTATAAACCATTTTAATTTTCATATTATGGACACTTTAGTTAGATAACCACTGGAAAATAGGAAGCATTGAATAGCTATTTATTCTCAATGTCAGATTCCTAGATAAGGAACACCTATTACCTAACCAAGCATCAAACCAGGATCAGAAGTCCCATACTTAGATGAGGAAATTATCAAACGCTCCCTGGTTTTCAGTAGCTTTCGAAACAACATCAGTTCATGATAAGAAATTTAAATCTCACCAATACCCTATAACAACAATCATACAATTTTATTAACCTTTGAGTAAGTTCTCCTACAAAAAAAGAGAGTGCTACATGAAATCATTTGTATTGCTATTAGTAGCCTTAGAAATAATTCGAAATAGACTGATCTGTAATCACATAAATGACTTATTTTATCCGAAAATTCTTTGATTTCAAAAAAGAAAAGTTGATTATAAACTCTGGAAAATTTAGAAACCAAGTAGAAACGACGTGCGTATTGATGCTCCATGAATATTTTTTAGTGGGATGATTTGTAATTTAAACTATCCAGTTGACTAATAAATGACGTTCAAGTCTTTTTGAATATTCCTATATATCGGTGAAGTTTTGTATACTCCTACCACAGATAATAAACCGTAGAACCTGTTTGTTTAAATCCCAACTTAACACATATCTTCCCATGTCTGTACTTGATTGATACATTATTTATTTTTTTTTTAATAAACTGTTTATGGACCAGGTTGTCATAGACTTTAATGTCAAGTTGTTGGATTCACAAGTGTTTAGTATTTAAGATAGAACTAAGAATATGAATTGACTATTGAATTTGAAGAAAATTGAGAGTGAGTGTGTGTGATGCCCTTGTGGTCTGGTGTGTGACGAAATCTCAGCACGGATACAGAAGGCTTGACTAGCTTTTGCCAACTTGCGTCATTTATGGCGTAGGCGAGATATCCGTCTATCAACCAAAGGACGTGTTTACTGCGCAGCAGTTTGTTCCATCCTACTTTATGGTTGTGAAACATGGCCGGTAAGAGTAGAGGATATTCGTAGGTTACTAGTATTCGATTATAGGTGTCTTCGAAACATTGCTCGTATATCATGCGACCATCGAGGAAGTAACACAGTTGTTAGGAAACGGGTACTAGGTAAGGATGGCAAATCAATTGATGAAGTAGTGAAACGTCATCAGTTGAGATGGCTGGGACATGTGTTACGTTTGCCCAACGACCGACTGCCTCGACGTGTTATGTTCAATGGTATAGGAGTAGGTTGGAAGAAATCTAGGGGTGGCCAGACCAAAACATGGCACAAATCCATGAAGTCACTGACAAGTGGACTGAGTCATGTTGATAGGTGTAGACTACTTGGTTGGGGACCACGAGATGATAGCAACCGATGGTTAGAGACCCTGAATGACATGGCTCAAAATCGTTTGTAATGGCGCAGGTGCATCCATTCTTTATGTTCTACCAAATTCTAATCTTCTGAATTCTTCATGTCCCTTTCTTTTTTCTCTTTCCAAATTTATTTCACTGGATTATACTTTTTGAATAACATCTTCAAACCCTAATCTATCCGATTACTGCTTATACTCTTACCGCCTCTATCACTACGGGATTGGAATCGACAACTGCATCTCTGTACTAATGTGGTATGGCAACTTGAACTGATGTACGTACGTACGAAGTTCTACGTTGTTACTGACTGAGAATTAATGGCCTGCAAAGTGAATTCCTCCAATCAACCATGATATTTTACCATAGTACTTTCAGTTTCATATTTTATAATATAAGCATGTAATTTCATTACAAAAAAGAATCTATTATTCTGGCTGGTGATATATTTTTTGACCTCAAATTATTGGTGACTAGATATCACTGGGAAAGTATATACCACTGAATATCATCGACAGATGTACATTCATTTTCTTTCATTTTGACAGTCAAAAATTCATTTGATTCATGCAATCCGCCTCCGTAACAGAGGGAGCAAGAGAAGCATACAAAAAGATTAAGTTTTAGACACACAGACTCAACAACGAATCATCCTAAGAGAGTTTAATGCACTCAAAAGTACATTTCACTGTTTAATGTGAGATAAACGCCATTCTGAGACATAACCAGTACGGAGACGTACAAACGTGAGTTATCACAATTTGCCATATAACATTAGCATGATGAAATGGAATTATTATAAATAGTAAGGCAGTCGAAATAATTTATCACAACTGTAATAAAAACACAACACCCACTGCCAATTAAATGAATGATTTTTTTACGAAATGCAAACATCTGTAGCTAAACATGAATGTTTATAACACGGTATTGCGACAGAATGTCAACAATTATCCCGAGACAACGCGAATATTGAACATACAGATCCATCAGATAAACAGATATAAACTTCCTAAGAACAGGCATAAAGGCGTACTGCTGCAGATTGTCACGTTTCACATCAAAATCGAGACTTATATCCTTCCTTTCTGTTCCAATTGATAAAGTACACTTTTATTCTTGATAAAAAAACGGCAGGAAATATAATAAATTCAGTAACTACTTAGAGGTTTCACACAACAGTAAACTAATATGTAGGTCGTATTCGTCATATATCGGTATCATTTAAGAGGTCATTAAAAACCAAGGAGCATTAGACAGTTGTTTAGCTCTAGCATGTGAATCTTCAGCAATGTGCATTTACGATCCATCTATGGGTAAAACCCAGGACTTCCAGATCTCGCTGGGGAAGCTTAGCCATTGGAGCTATTGGATAGGCGTCAAATGGTACAATTTCAACTACAATGAATTTGCAGTATAGCACGATAATCAACCAATGTCATGTATCCAACAGTCGATGGTCTAGAATACTAACTACTCATTTACATCCAGACGAAATAATCAGATACAACACATTAAATAAAAGATATAAGACCACAGAATTAGAGAACAATACACATACATGTACAATCCAGTTTTTTTTCCAAAAGTATTCTAAATGATATTAAGGAGGGAAATTATATTTGGAAAAATAATTTTTCACTGTCATTAATATTACATTAATCCAACCTCTATACACCTTGTGTCAATTTCACTTCGTCGTGCTAATGTTGTGTAGGAACGTGGATCAACACACATCGGCTCCAAGTTGATGATAGCTTACAGATAACTAACAACCTTTTGAACACTATGTAGTGACCAACGTCATATTTATCTAGTGTTTTTAGCTTTGCTCGAATGTTATCGATCAAGTTGCAATGTGACCACTAATCCGAGTGACTCGACATAAAACATACTATGCTGAGATATTAAATAGATGTAGTCAACAAGAAACACTGGACCTATGTCCACAGTAAGAAATATTTCCACCGAGATTCCATGTAGCCTGAAAACTACGGTGACAACATTCCAGATTGTAAAGCAAGGTAACATGGATCTAAATCCCACAAGAGACATAAGTTTTCCCAACATTGTAGATACACCCTACAGTCCAGAATCAACAAGAAAGAAGCCTAGGTTCAGGGTTTCTTACCAACTACTTGGAACCACTTAATACATATACATTACATCATGTAATTTAACAAAATGATGGAAAAAAATACATACTTACTTTATCACAAAACGGACATTTTAATGTTGTTCTTGGATGAACTGGTTGCTTTACTAAACTAGTAGGCGTTTCATTTGAATTAACTTTAACAGCAGAATAATTAGATGAAGCATTATTATTATTATTATTATTGTTCATTGTATGTTCCTTTGTCACTGATGATATAGCTGCTCGTTCGTTGTTGTGGTTCTTATTCTTACCACTTATAGTATGAGTAGTATTCCATATAAGATTAGAGGAAATTGGAGAATTGGGCGAACTAATAATGGGATTATTATCATCACTCTCATTATTAAGAATATTAATACATAAATCAGCAAATTTTTTTTGTTCAGATTTTGAAAATAAAAATAAATCACTTGATGATATTGTAGTATTGTCATTATTTAATGTTAAATTACTGATAGACGATTGTATAGTATTACAACAAGAAGATGAAAGAATAGGAAGAACAGCAGTAGCAGTAGTAGGACCAGTAGTAGTAGTAGTAGTAATAGTAGTAGTAGAAGTGATGATCATCTGATGATGATCAGCTTCATTAGAAATTATTGATGAAGTAGGAGAATTACACAAAAGATCAAAATTATATGGATCGTTATTAGAGGAAGTGGAAAAAGCAATAGAAGATAAGGAATTAATAGTTGTTGGGGATGTTATACGTTTCAGCAATCTATTCACCGGGTTCACTTTAACAGTAGAAAGATTTGATTGGCTATTTATCAAATTCGTTCTGAATAAATCACGACTTGATGATGAGGATGATGATGGAGATGATTTATTCGAATTGATTAATGGCTCACTAAAATTGAATATGAACATAGTTTATTTTGTATGTATGTTATAATTTTTAAAAGAAATCTAAATTATAAGATTATCAGTATCAGAAGGGGTTTTGTGGATATAATAGTAATTTTAGTAGTTGAGATCATGATCTTGGATGCGTACTACTGAAAAGTCCCACAGTAGGACGAAACTACCGTTCAGTGCTTCCAGGTTTTCCATGATGGTCTAGCTTCAATTGACTCATGATCTCAACTATAAAATTATTGGAAAGAGAGCATAGATGAAACACAATCACTAACAGTAAAATAACTAGTTGGTTGACATATTACATTCAATAATAATAAATTTGTAATTACTGAAAATTTCATACTAATCTGTTTTACATAACTATTAAATACTAACTACGAAATTGTGATCGGTTTAGATAGTCGGTGTAAATTCGTGAATCAAGGGTTTTTGCTATTTGACATTGGGCTTTAAGGTGTACTTAAGATTTGAGGAAAACAGTATTACCTGGTGGATTCGAACTAGGACTATTTAGATTAACTGTTTGAAACGTTACCACTAAACAGTTTAGGTCGCTATTTGTAATGTGACTTTGCAATCGAATGCAACTTTACGAAATTGACCAACGTCTTATATGAGATCTAGCAATATTACTCAACTTTCACCAAACTGAGGGTTCGAACCTGCAGCTCACTGGTTGAAAATCAACTAATAACATCATTAAAATGTCGCTTCTTTAAATAAGCAATAACCTATAGATTATATATACACTACCTCACCAATGATAAATGTTAATAACAAGCAAAACCCATCTAGAAAAATTATCTAACAATGGCCTCGAAATCTATCTAAACATTGAATATACAATAACATAATGTATGATGTGAAAAAGTTATGACAACGAATACTTTTACTTTGAATAAACATGTTTAATGTTACAATTGAATTAGTTGATATTGAGAGTTAATTGGTCAGTTAGTCAGCTACAACAGAGGACTAGGCACATATATGCATCGGTACAAGTTGCCATACCTCATTAGCACAACAACATGAACACCAGATTCATAGAAGTAGTTAATTCAATGGTGGTAATATATAAAAGAAAGATTGAATATAAGGATATAGTACAAGAAGAAAGAATTAGTTCGTAGAAAGAAAGATATAAAGTGATTTTAATCTCATAGTATAGGGGAGAAAGAGAGTTTATACACCTACGCCATTGTGATCTATTCTAAGTAATATCACCCAAAATTTCCAGCCATGTCACCCCATAGTCTCCAGTTAACTGTTCTACTCACAATGGACAATTTATTTATGAGAATTCACTATACATGAAAATCTTATGCATCTGGACACTTATATATTAGAGGAGTTATGTTAGAGGGATAGGGTTCAATTATAGTACTTTATCAAACATTATGCTTACTGGTATTATTAATGCATCATTAGAACAAAAACCTTACAGAACTATTAGATATAGAAGGGGAAAAAGTTTAAAATTCACATACAATGAAAATAATGTACTTACATACATTCAATATAATACACAATAGAATATTAATGATTAGCCATACAATATCAAACTTTCTTTCAGGAACAATAAAATTGAAGCATTTCTCACATTTTTTCAATGATTGAACCTAGTTTTGAGGCATGTAAAATCTGAAAGAAAAAATAATTAGAAGATTTCGTTTGAAAGAAAGTATTAGAAATAAATTCAATATATCAAAAATCATTAACACTGGTTGAAATCATGAGTCAATTGAAGCTAGACCACCATGAAAAACCTGGAAGCAGTGGACGGCCGTTTCGTCCTAGTATGGGACTCCTCGGCAGTGCGTATCGACGATCCCGCCCCCCGCGAGATCCGAACCCAGGACCTATCAGTCTAGCGCCAGGCGCTGAACCAACTAGACCACTGAGCCGGCACCCAACGGTGTTAATGTCTAACTTCAACCAATCCACGATGGATGCGCACTGCTGAGGAGTCCCATGATGGGACGAAACGGCCGTTCAGTGCTGCCAGGTTTTTCATGGTGGTCTAGCTTCAATTGACTCACGATTTCAACCGGTGAAATTTCTAAAAACCTCCACAAAACCCATTCCGATAATAATAAATATTAAACAAATTGTATAAATATATATCTATTTTATAAACCTTAGTTGTTATGTAATGGGGTGGAAACATAAAGAACTACGAAAGTTATCATCCAGAAGATGCAAGTGTTTATTAACAGTTGTCTACACAAAATACTTTGGATCCGTTGACCAGACACTATTAGCAATAACCTACTGTGGGAGAGAACAAACCAGATCCCACCGTAGCAAGAAATCAGCAAGAAGCGCTGGAAATGGATAGGACACACATTACGGAAAGCATACAACTGCGTCACAAGTAAAGTCATCACTTCGGATCCTCAAGACCAAAGGACATATTACGCCGTGAAATGGAGAAAGACATGAGAAGAATGAACAACAATTCTATAGAACTAGAAAGGAAGGCCCATGACAAAGTGGGTTGAAGAATGCTGGTCGGCGGCCTATGCTCCATTGGAAGTAACAGGCGTTAGTAAGTAAGTAAGTTGCATGTTATTCATTTAGTTAGGCCTAAAATATGAGAGAGCATTTGAACTTAGAACTTAAATGAGTAAGTAGTTAAAGTTAATTAAACCACAGGATTCCAACAGTAGAAACGAGCAAATTCAAGAATATAAATAAGTAATGAACTACTAAACACTGGAAGTTGCTTCCAAATAAGGTAGGATACACCATTTGGATTCATTGCATTGCAGTTTTTAAGTCACCATTAGGAAGTTCTTTTTAACAGAACATCATGTAAATTATATACATGTGTACTCTATTAGAGTAAATATAGAAATTACTTTCCATACGTTGGCTTTTATACTTGACAGCTCCCAACTGGTAAGTAACAGTGTTGAGATAAGACAAATCAATGAGAATGAAAAAATCTGGGAGTGAATTTTGACAAATTAATATTTATATATTTAATATGTATTAATTAGACATTCAGTTTGTAGTTTTTTTTATTCTTCTGGTTGTAAACTTTGGCTATACAATCAGTGTTTTTTTTAAAATAGTGAAACTATTATTTGTGGATGACCTTTGAGCGACGCAAGAGTGAACATGAGATTGTTCACTTAATTAGAGTTATAAACCAGTACGAAGAATTAGAATTACGATTTACAGTCGATAGTTAAAGTTTTCATCATGAACTGACATAAGCTATAATGTTAAAACTCTATTTAACCAAATGGATAGATGAATTTTGTGCCAAAATCCAAGATATATATGTGATTGGTTTGTTCATAAATTATAGTCTCTTCGTTAAAATAAAGAAGTTACACTGACTTTTTGTGTGTGTTCTGAATGGGACTAGAAAATAGAATTCAGCGTGAGCTAATAAACATTAACATTCTTCGTGTCACATTTTAATATTACCTGTGACTACATCTCAGTCCTACAGGAGGTCAGTCGCAGCCCAAATAGCTCAGTGATAACATCTCTGACTGTGAAGCTGGTTGACAAATGATCGAATCTTTCAGGGAGTATCAGTTCCCTCAAAATTACAGGTACACCTTGCTGACAAGTGGCAAATAGTACGAAACCTGGGTTCAAGGTTTCTTGTTGACTATCTCTAACCTCCAACCATCTTACATTCAGGAGTAAGTTGGAAGAAAGCTAGGGGCGGGCAGACCAAAACATGGCACAAATCCGTGAAGTCACTGACAAGTGGACTGAGTCATATTGGTAGGTGTAGACTACCTGGTTGGGGACCACGAGATGATAGCAACCGATGGTTAGAGACCCTGACTGACATGGCTCAAAATCGTTTGCAATGGCGCAGATGCATCCACTCTTTGTGTTCTCCCAAATTCTAATCTGTATTCTTCATGTCCCTTATTTCTTCTCTTTTGAAATTTATTTCACTAGATTATACTCTACAAACCGTAATATTTCCGATTACTGCTTATACTTTTACTACCTCTACCACTATGGGATTTGAACCGACAATTGTATTTTTGTGCTAATGTGGTATAGTAACTTGAACTGATGTACGTATGTACGAAGTTCTACGTTGTTACTGACAGACTGACTGACTGATATTCGTATTACTGGTTCAAACACAGTAATCAACCCAAGATCATATCATAATATGGATATACCTAACATCTGTTTCATATAGAATGATCAAATAATCAACGATATCTCAATGTATAGGACGTTGGAAATCTTATCATTATTAATAGATCTAATGCATAAAAGAGTAACTGTATTTCTATTTTTTTAAAAAAAGAGGGCGAAATATAAGATTATTTATGGGAGTGGTGTAAGTTACTACAAATGATCATGATAACAATCATAGTGATAACCATAACAGTACTATAATAATAATGGTAATAATAATACAAAAAGCTTAACCATAAATCATAGTAATTACATTCCATATTAACAGAATTTATTTGACAAGTAAAATAAATTCTCAATCAATGAATGTTTCTTACTGGTAACATAAACAAACTATTAAATGATTAGATAGGTTATGAAAGAGATAAAATCACTTTCCACTTTAATGAATTCATGATATGATAAACACTATTAACCATATGAGCATGCATACACAAAACTGAGAATAGGGACTTGAATCAATTGAAATACTTTTTTTTATAATATTAATCTTTATGCATCATAAATAAAAATGAATTATATTTTTATTACATTTAAGTGTAGAATATTTGAATAAAATTGTTATCATTCATATGGTAAACTGTGATCTACAATTGGTTAAACAAATACTTCTATATGCTTATCTATGTTGACTATATGAATATAATTTCTATAAATTTATATTGTAAAAATGAATGATTATTTATGTGAATGGAATTGTAGTCAGTCAGTCAGTCAGTCAGTAAAAACGTAGAACTTCGTACATACGTACATCAGTTCAAGTTACTATACCACATTAGCACAAAAATACAATTGTCGGTTCAAATCCCATAGTGGTAAAGGTAGTAAAAGTATAAGCAGTAATCGGAAATATTACGGTTTGTAGAGTATAATCTAGTGAAATAAATTTCAAAAGAGAAGAAATAAGGGACATGAAGAATACAGATTAGAATTTGGGAGAACACAAAGAGTGAATGCATCTGCGCCATTGCAAATGATTTTGAGCCATGTCATTCAGGGTCTCTAACCATCAGTTGCTATCATCTCGCGGTCCCCAACCAGGTAGTCTATACCGACCAACATGGCTCAATCCACTTGTCACTGACTTCATTTATCTGTGCCATGTTTTGGTATGGCCGCCCCTAGCTCTTTTCCAACCTACTCCTATACCATTGAACATAGCACGTCGAGGCAGTCGGTCGTTGGGCAAACGTAACACATGTCCCAGCCATCTCAACTGATGACGTTTCACTACTTCATCAATTGATTTGCCATCCTTACCTAGTACCCGTTTCCTAACAACTACATTACTTACTCGGTGGTCCCAGGATATACGAGCAATGCTTCGAAGACACCTATGATCAAATACTAGTGACTTACAAATATCCTCTACTCTTACCGGCTGTTTCACAACCATAAAGTAGGACGGAACGAACTGCTGCGCAGTAAACTTGTCCTTTGGTTGGTAGACGGATATGGAACAGTAATGTAACATTTAAGTCATTCGAGCATTGGTTAGAAAATTTATCTAAGTTCGGAACTTAATAAAGGGTAACTACAACTTTACACAGAATCGAGTGCAGACTCTTCAGATTTGATAACCAACACAATAAATACCCAGTTAATAAATCATTTTTCAACCTCTATCATCATTCAATCGCTATTAGAGGATAATAACAACTCAATTTGATTGACTCCACATACAATATAGCTTTCACTAGGACTAATTTCGACATGGATCAACTAGCGAACCTTGATAAATAACCTAACTAAATAATAATCAACTGACTTTGGATACTGTGCGAGATTTATGCTTTCTAACTGCTCACACCATGAGATTACATTTCTTCTTGAAAAGTGTGAAAAATTAACTGCGTTAGTATCTAATATGTCTGGAAGCGTGACCAAAAAGACCAAACGATAACTTTTCTGAAATTGAACGCAAATGTAATTGTCTTGATTATTGCAATCATTGGTTTAAAACTTTAAAAACCCTACCGTTGACAGTTAAGATCGGTGGGGGGAAATAGGAAAAGTGATCAAGTAAGACAGAATTCTAAGAATTGTTATGTGCGCGACTCAGTACGAATATTTACTAAGTTTTCAGTAATACTCTATGTTGGGGTCATAAACAGAATAACGTTATTTGGTTGTTTAAACATGATAAGACGAAGTGGGACGTGAACGTGATACAGAATGGATTATTAAACTCGGTATGCTGATAATTCTTAAGAAAATATTGAATGCTGCTATCAGTACAAATGCTCAAAAGTGTGACTGCATTCTCACCCACAGTTAGTTGTCTGTAAGCTCACTGATCATACACTAAGGTATCAAGTAAAATAAATAAAGTGGTGAATAGAGATTACGACACTCAGATTTTATTCAGTAGATTGCGAAATTCAAATCCTAACCTATTCAGTCAATCATGAGCAACGTAGAACCTGAATCGATCCAAGCTGCCATGCCACACGAGTACAGAAAGATACAGTTATCAAGACAAATCCCAGAGTAATAGTAGTGTTGGTAAAAGTATCAGTGACAGTAGATCATGCGTAGAAAAACGAAAGCATAAAGATATTTGACCATTCACTTTTTGAAAGAAGACAAAGAGTCTGGGTCATGTCGCCCAAAGTCCGTAGCCATTGGTCACGATGATCAGGTGGACCCCAGTCACAGTCTACACCTGTTAACATAGCTATGTTCAATTACCAACGATTCTATCGAGTAGTGTCACGTCTTGCTTTGGTCGCCCACAAATTTCTTCTAGACTACTCATACACCAGACACCTTTGCGCGCAAAGGTAGGAGGTGGTTGGAATTACGTAAAGTAAATCTTAATCACCACAGTTTAAGATACACAGCCTGACCAACCGACTTGTCAGCTTTACCTAGGACTATATGCGCAGTCTCACTGACACTCACTTGGCGAAGCCAAAATACACGAGCGGTGCTTCTAAGACAATTGTGGTTGAGTATGAACCAAAGAGTATCTTCCATTCTCAATAAGCATGCTTCACACCAACCAAGTGTCTTTCAATTCGGCTAGGTTTAACTACTTGGGTAATAAAATCATCTCTCACCATTACTAAATATGAGTGTCTAGTATTTTGAAGGGGGATGGAAAGAACTTTTGGGAATTTATATTTCACTTCATCTAATCTGCGGCTAATAGAACGGAAAGCGTAAACAACGAAGAGGCAACGGCGTGCGTCCCAAACTGTTTAAGTCCTTACTGTTCTGTTCATTCAGCTGTCTGTTGAAGTCCAGTCTAAAAATGTGTTGTTTTTAAGCGTAGTTCTGCACCTAATTCGATGAGATCGTGAGAAATACCAGTGGAGTTTACAGGTACACGCCTCAAACAATGCAGTTTCGGAAGTCCAGCAGTATTACTACACTTTTTAAAAGCTCAAGCACGAGTACATAAATAAGTAGCTGGTAAACGAGTTGTGTTTTTCATAGTACGTTAAAACTTTAGGAAACATCAGTTCCGGTTAATATATCTAGACTAGGTCATTACAGTGGACAGTCTTAACTACCAAGATAAAATAACAGTTATTGTTATTCGATGAACAAAATGTGCCACTGTGCCGTATAATCATCCTGACTACCTACAGGCATTAAAGTTCAAACGCGTTAACAAAATTACTGGTTTAGAATTTATTATCCACAGGTCTTTTAATGACCAGGTGGTATATGGGTTATCATAAAAAATTTACTGTGCGAATTGCATAAATCATTCGATATTTTTAACTTATTTTCCATAACTAGCACCGTAAATAACAGATACAAGCAAGATTATGGTTCATGAACAAACCAATCAGACTCAAACTAGTGAGTTCTGGATGTCTGCAAGAAATTCATCCATTTAAATGACACTATAGCTTATATCAGTTCGTGACGAAAACCCAAACTCAACTCCTGACCGTATCTCCAGCCTTTTAGCACTAAATCTGACTTCTAACACTGATCTATAATGCGCTTTTGATTCTAAAAGGTTACCGAGTATTCTAAAAAACACTTTGGCGTCGCATCAAAATCGTCCATAAATTTTAATCGCACCAACACATTTTGGAGAAGACCTGTAAAAGAATCACGATAGCGAAAACGTTTTACTGTATAAGACCACTTTTTATGTATATAATTCGTAACCAAAAACGGGTGTGACATACAGCGACGGAACATAACGGGCAAGAACGTAATAATAATCCACATGTAAGCACAACAGTATAATGCTCTCGCTTTTTCAAAAACTCCGCTCCAAAGGACAAGGTGAAATATTAGATTTTAAAGTAGTAAAAGTGCATTTCTCTTCTAAAGTTTAAAGTTGGATCAATTAATGAAAATCCGTTGTTTATTCAATAAATGAATTGTTCTATGTTTACTTTTTTCCAGGATTATATAAAACTGAGGATTCAGAATCAGCACAGCGTACGTTATGTTTCGAACCAATATTGACACAATTCCCATCATCACCTAACCAATCACTTCGTTCCACTAACAACTTCCAAGCGAAAATCATACTCAGGAAAGGTTAAAATGCTAGTTCATTGCGTTTTTCTTAAGGTATTCAAATTTCCGCCTTTAGACACGATGCCTTAAATGCTTTAATTATATATTTTTTCTTTCTGTCCATTACAGTGTCGTCGTATTTGCATAAATTTCATCAGTGTCCTCAAACCCTCCTTAAAGTAACTAATGGTTTGGGAAGATGTTACATTTAATAGGCTTCTTAATCTCCTGAATTCTCAAACTCTGTATACACCTACTTTTACGATCTGTGAGGTTGACTAGCCACTTGTTTTCTCAAAGTACTGGTCGTCCTTGCAATAAAAATAGACACCATCTCTACAATAATGTCAATCGGCTTCATAATTAATAATAGTAGGGCATTTCTGTAGTCTGGCAAAATACAGTTCAATAACTGAAGCACAATACGAGTTTAAAAATATATCAGAGTAATCCGCATGAATACGTTTCTACCATTCACAGGGATTCCAAATAGACTTATTATAGGATGTCAAATGTAAACTAACTGCAGTTTTTCAATTTTCGACTAGTATCAGCACCAATCTCTGGACGCCAACAGATCTGATGAGCGAGCAATTTCGTTTTCTCTTCTCTCACATGGGCAGAATAAAAGTTGGAAATAACCGCAGGTCTCAGTGTGCGGAGAATGATTACTCTATCGTTAAAGGACAAATACAACTACGGGCTTTGGTGGTAAGTCTTCTCTCCTTTTGTAAAAACCAAGAAACTTACGCGTGCATTAAATGTTTCAACCTCTTTACATGTAATCACGACCGTTCCAGAATACTTACAAGTATCTTCTACCAGTTCTGCTGTATCACTGGATTACAATGATGAAGTCATAAGCCTATTTACTTACTACTTACTTACGCTAGTTGCTCTTCGTGGAGAACTCTAGGCCACACACCAACATTCTCCATCCAATTCTCTCCTGGAAAATCCTTCCCAGTTCTTCCCAGTTGTTATTCATACTTTTCATGTCTGCTTCCGATTCCCGACTCAATATGTTTGTCAGCCTTCAACTTATCACTTCCTTCATCATGCAGTTTGATGATTTCTTCAATGTATGTCCTATCCACCGACAACGTCTTTTCATAATTTCTTCTTGACCTGGAAGTTGGTCTTTTCTCTTCCACCGAAGGCTGCTGCTGATGATATCCGGTCAACGAGTCTTGAGTAGACCACTGATAACAGATACTTGTGTATTTTTGATGATGGTTGTGATAGTTCTAGAGATTTCAGTGCCGTATGGAAGAATTTTCTTGATGTTCGTTTGGTGTCTTCACATCTGCATCAGATCCTCCTTGTTTATCAATAATTCTGTAGTGAACGAGAGCTTCGGTGATGAAAACCATTGTATTATAAGTCGTAATGTTAGTTTGAAAATCATACACTGAACACATCATCTGCACATCTTTTTTTGTGTTGTCCTTTACCTATTCGTTTATTCCTCTGTCTCTGTAGTTATCTTGACTGCTCTCTGATCACCTTTTTGTTCTCTTCAATTAAATTTTCTACTTCTATGCATTCTATTTCCGACTGTTGCCGCGCACTACTTATTCCTGTAAGCATAAGTGGCATACGCTACTTTGCTGTCCAAATACACGGAAGATTCCACCTTTTTCAGAGCTTTTCCGTCAATTGTGATTATGTCGGTGCTCTCTGTTGTATTTTTAGATGTTGCTTTCTCTCTAGTGTATGTTGAGGCCTATCGATGCAGAAGCTGATGCTAAACTGGCTGTCTTCTGCTGTATTTGTTGGTTTATATGAGGTAGGGTAGCTAGGTCACCGGTGCATTTCAAATCGTATAGTTACATGCAGGAAGTTCATTGCATTCCGTGCTTCCCAGCAGCTTTACCGGACTCCGGTTCTTACTTAGAATGAGTCTATCAGCTGTCCTCCACTCACGACATTGAAGTATGGTCCGTCCAATGAACTCTGTATGATTTTAACTAATCTTTCATGTACTACAGTGTGGAAGAAGATATCACAAGGTCTATAAGGAAGTTGATATATGGAAGCGAGTTGTGCTATTACTAATAGCCCTGTCAAATATAACGTGACAAAATCACGAACCAGAACACTGACTTATATGCCTTTTTCCGTATGCTATGATGATGTGTCTACCCCAAATCCTTATTAGTCCTCTGCATAGTATATTCTCGCCTAACCCACTACATTCAGTCCAGAACACAATTATAAACCTTCACTATATGAATCGTATAATTCAGACATACGTGATTTATTTACGAATATACCAAACTGCATCACACTATAAGATAAAATAATGATTATACAAGATTAAGCCAAATGTATCGGTGAGTATTGAGAACTGTAACTAATAAATTGAAAATAAATTAAGAAGGTAAATCTCAAAACAGTTGCCAATAGGTCAAATGGAAGGTGATGATTAGAGTAATATGAATAGGCATATAATCTAATCCCTTAGTAATCACCTGATAAGAATACATGTAACAATTTTCCATAAATAATCCCTAGCTGATAGTATTCACATATTATTCATCTGAATGTGACAAGTTCAATTCAACCGAGTTTCAAACAACGATCTATTTTGATAGGTTAACTGCCGATTCTTAAGTACTCGAAGTTGCGTAGCTAGTGAGTAGTAGTGTGATATTTCTGTGGTTGTTAAATGAAGAAAAACTGTTCACATAAGACGTACACTTATAAAATACGACCGATTTCAAAGTGAGTGATCAGTCCAATATCTGGAAATATCGATGGAGTTATCATGCGAGATGAATAATAATGTGTAGCCATTTTCCTCTGTATTCTTGACACAGTCAATAAATAGCTGAATGTAGTCTTAATGATTGCATACACTGACGACACTTAAATCACATCTGTCAAAAAGATTGGGAAGATGCTTGCTTTTTACTTGAAATGTACGTAAAATCTAATGTCTTCCATATATTACAATTCTTAATCACGATTATTCTCGTCCTGATTAGTGATAAGTCAAATGTTTTCTTTAATCTTTAGTGACCTACTTTTACCAGGAGAACGCGATTGGTTTAATGGAAACAATTATTATTATAATCAATTGTACCAGTGATTGTTTTACTGTGATCGTTTGTTTACAATGTCAACGATCAAAATTGCACAGGCACGTGACTGCCCCCATTGGCAGGTTCGCTACGCCTGATGCTCGCTTCGATCACGTTCATATAGACATTTTGGGACCACTTCCACCATCGCATGGGTATGATCACGTACTCACGTGCATCGATCGTTTTACAAGGTAGCCCGAAGCTATTTCCATCACGTCTATCACGGCGGAGACAGTTGCTCACCGTGGACAACAACTCCAGTCCGCATTATTCTCCTCACCGACCCGGTTGCTTGGTACGGAACGCATACGCATACGGTTTCATCGCCAACCACGGAGCGGTAACGATTTCTGTGAGTCAGACTACGTCCATCGACTGCCTCAATTTATGCGAACACTGTCTCCGGTGTCAACTCAAATACAACATCGACAGGTCGCTCTCCGTCGAGAGTTATCTACCTGTTCAAATGTTTTCATACGGGTAGATTCGGTACGCAAACCTCTGCAACAGCCTTACGAAGGACCTTTTCACGTGATTTCTATTCACGAAAAGACTTTCAAGGCTGATCGACATGGCCGTGTCGAGATCGTCAGCATTGATCGTCTCAAACCAGCACACGTCGATGACAGTGCTTTACCCGATAACTCGAGACGCAATGCTAGACCCATCAAACCTACTAGCAGGATCCTTACATCTACTTCAGGTCCCACGCTAGATACATCAGAGACCTCATTCTCACGTCCCGGTCAACAGCACGTGTCATCTGCACCAATGACGGACGAGGCTTCAGTCTCACGTCCAGATCAGCAGACCACGCCACCCTTGACTTCGGATGAGATTGCTGGCTCACGAAATACGAACGAGACTACCGTCTCACGTTCTGGTCCTCGACAACGCTTACGCGTACGTTTTCGCGACTAACCGTACAATCAACAATGGACACAGTGTAGGACTATTCCTATACTACATGCGTGCAACCCTTTTTCTCTTTTCCTTTGATTTTTTTTGTATCCTGAGCCCATGCCTCCAACCATCGCCTTTTTGGTATCGCCAACTTCAGTCAACCTCGGCGAAAGGTGGTCCGATCGCCCACGCTCTTGCCAACGCACTTAGTCGATATTCTGGTTTCGAATCTGCCTGGCATACGCATGGTCTTGAACCTGGTTGTTACGGTCGCTTCTAGTTTCTTGGCTCAACGTGGTTTCGTCCTACGTCTGCAGTGTTTTCTGGTCCGGACCCCTAGGAACGCAGTCTTCAGATCCTTCATACAAACCACTCTGGTATGATATACTAACTTGAGCAAAAATCACAGCACATTTCTCCTGGTACAGTTCTACGTAAAATACCTTAGGTGCCAACAGGTTTGCTGATCAGTCCCACGAATTAAACCGCTACGTATCGAAAGTGTAAACCCTTTCTAGGAGGGGGCTCCTGTAGTGAACTACTTTTACCAAGAGAACGCAATTGGTTTAATGGAAACAATCAATTGTACGAATTGTACCAGTGATTGTTTTACTGTGCTTGTTTGTTTAACTGTACTAAAGACAGCCACTACTCCTCCATTATTTTTCCGTGAACTGTGGCCTTGTACGCACGTACGCTCGTCCATTGATTCCGTTTGTATTTTCCTTTGGCACGATCTCGGTGTTCTTTCGATAC